GCAGCGCCACAAGGTTTATAATCCTCCTTGGTAGTGAACAAGCTGCAGCCCGGAGAGATTGCATGGTGGGCCCAAGGCTAAACACCAGTAGGAGCTGGAGCCAGGATGGACCTGCAAGCTGAGGATGGTGAAATGGTATGAAACCCGATGGGCGTCGAGAAGAAAAGGAAGGGAAGGGCCTGGCTGTTCCATAGTAATCAGTCATTTTTTGATTATTTTGTATTTTTTGTTTGTAACACTATTTAGTTCAGGGTTTCACTATTTAGTTCAGGGTGGCCTTGAATTTACTTTGTAGCCCAGGCTACAGGCTACAACTTGCAGTGATCCTCCTGCCTCTGCCTCCTGAGTGCTGGGACTACATGCACCAGCATGCCTGGCTTGATAGTTCGTTTAAATAGTAAGTTCAGATGAGTCAGATTCATGTGATGACTCTTTCTCTATGTTTTTTTTTTTAAGATAGGACCTCACAATTTTGTGCCACGATGGTCTTGAACTTCTAGGTTTAAGGAATACTTCTGCCTGAGCCTTCTGATTAGTTGGCAGTAAGTAGGCTTGGTCCTTGGAGGCCTTTTTAAAAGGCTGAAACACAACATGTTGTATCTGACTTTGGTTAGAGAACCTTGTTCATGAGAAAATCATTAGCTATTTCTCAAGAGAGAAATTAAATGAATATGTCTGATGTTCACTTTGTGTTTGTTTTTAACAAAGCCCTAAAGAGGGTGCTAGTCTCGCAGGAGGAATTAGTCATAGAAACGTTGGTATGCTGGGTCCTGTGGCACACACCTGTATCCCAACTCTCTGTCCTCTGAGAGCTGAAGCAGGAGGATTCCAAGTTCTAGGCCAGCCCACACAACTTGGCAAGACTGACTCAAAATAAAATGAGAGTGGCTAAGAATATTGTTTAGTGCTCCCTGGGTTCCGTCTCTAGTACCACACATGCACGAGGGCTGGGCTCATGAGACTACAGTGTCTGTTCTCTGTCTGCCAGGGTCAGTGGTGGAGTCAGGTGCGCTGGAGAAAGACAGCAAGCCCAGGCCTGTGGAGAGAGTGCTTGCATTTGTCACCACCACTGCTGGGACAGTTCCAGAGCTCCTCTAGGCTTTCACTAGGGAGTGCAAGGACCAAGGAGGTTTGTGTTTCAGCAGAGCAAATACAGAGATGAAATACTTGAAATCTCAGTGAATAGTTCTGTTGAAATGTGTTTATCTTGAATTCTTTCACAAACTCAGAATGCTTGCCTGGTTGTAATACAATTCCGTGGGTGTGTAAGGAAGAGTGCAGGGCTACAGAATGTCCTGTGTCCCCACAGTTGAACAAGGGAGTCTGTGCTGAGGCTGTGGTAAATAACAGTTGGAAACCCCATTTTTGAGCTCTTTTCTTCTCTCACCATGCCCTCCTCGCCTTTTTTTAAATTTTGAGACTGCATCTCAGTTGGGCGCAAGCCTGCAGTGTTGGCTTCAGTTTCTTTGTGTGTTGGGAGTGTAGGCCTCCATCATCATTTTTTAAAAAATATAAACATGGAACTATTTTAAGTTAAAACAATAGTTAAAATGCATTGATAATGTGAGAAATTATATTAAAATTTGTTTTTAAAGAGGTGACATGAAAGCAGAAGAGAGATGATTTGAGAAGAGGGAGGGGAGAGGAAAGGAGCCAGACGAAAAAGAGGGAGAATGGAGGAGAATGAGCAAAATGTGTCGTGTAGATCCACAAATATGCCATATGCCAAAACGAAACTTGTTAACTATAAAATGTGAGAAATGTTAAATATTCTTTATTTGGTATTATACTTACACCACACTAAAATGCTGTTTAGTAAGTAAAGGGCAGCACCTTTTAGATACAGGGAATTCTAATTAAATTGGTGTAGTTCAACCAAAATTCCAGATGTTGCTTCCTTGTCTTCAACCCCTCCCTTTAACGGACTAATAAACATTGAAACAGGGAGTTTTGCTTGGTTTTGAGAAAATAAAGGATTTCCCTAGTATTTAACCAGTTATATAAATCTACATATAAAACCAACCTTCTGTATATTTTGAGATGACACTCTCAATTTTTGTGAAAAGTCAAACATTACTAATCAAGTCCAACCATGTATTTAGGAAGGGAAAACAGTGCCAGGATTCATTGAACTAGAATTACTATCAAAACCTGAAAAATATCCATTTAAATATAAGCTAATTTTACTTAAATCAGGAGTGTCCAAAAATATTCTGGCAGCCACTCATGATCTGAATTCTGGTGTATGAGACCTATTAAATTATGATACATATGAAAAAGCCACGAAGCATTTCTGTTCTATAATAAACAAGGCAGTGACTATTACTCAGTAGCCTTTTTGAGGTAAGCCATTGAGTCTGTCCTTTCTCCCTGCTTCTTGATGCAAGTGAAGATCATTTTTTGCCAGGGATATACTTCTTGGGATTCTTCGAATAATCCTAATCCGTCAGTATGTCCCTTCCCCAGGTGATGCTTTTGTTCTTGTTGGCCTCTATAAGTGAATCCAGCAGCCTGATCTGTCTTCCTCCCAAACAGACCATGGAGATCTGGCCCGGTTCTGTGCTTGCCTCCCTTCTCAACAGTGAGGCACTGGGCATGCTTCTGTACAAAAATCTTACATTTCTCAACATCACCCATTTTTAAACCTGCTGCGGCTTCCACACCTTGTTATACAAGGAACATTCCAGTTTAGAAGCCAAACATCCCGCTCTGTAGCCCAGGGACACTCGGATCCTGTTTTGTTTTGTTTTGAGATAGCATTTTGCTTTGTAGTCCAGGCTCGAACTCATTGTGCAGCCTAGGCTGGCCTCAACCTCGCAGCAGACATCTGCCTTAGCCTCCTGAGTGCCATTTTAACTTCTTCTATTTCTACTTTTTAGTGTCACTATATAATACTCCAGTATATTAACATGGAAACTTTTGAATTTTCTTATTTGTTGATAGTTCATTTGATTATGGAATGCCTTTAGATCTTAAGTGAAGCTGGCATAGAGCCCCATACCTGTAATCACTGTCCTCTGGGAGACTGAGGCAAGATTGCAAGTTTGAACCCAGTTTGGGAATTTAATGACTTAATGAGACTTTGTCTCAACATTAAGTAAACAAAGAAATAAATGGGCAGGCTGTAGCTGTAGCTCAGTGTGAAAGCTCAATCCCCAGTACACTCCTACTCTGTGCAAAAAAAAAAAAAAAAAAAAGAAGGGGAAACCTTAAATGAAATATAACTATGTATTCTCTCTGCCAAGGATGAAAGTGTGAGAAATTTTAATTGTGCTAATAATTTAAAGAACCTACCTATACACCTGTAATCCCAGCACTCAGGAGGCTAAGGCAGGAGGATCTAAGTGAGTTCAAGGCCAGCCTGAAGTCATAGTGAGACCCTGTTTCAAAAAAAACAAAAACGAAGAAAGAAAGAACAAAGAATGACTTACTTACCTATAAATAGATACAGCTGTACTAACCTAAAGCATAGAAGGGAAAAGTTTTACATAAAGGCTGTGCTGTGTTCATTCTTGGGTTAACATGATTGCTAAAAGTTTGCCTTTGTCTTTCTGTTACATTCGCTAGCGTCTGTCTGCCTTGGTTAACTACAAAGTTATGATTAATGTGTGTGTTTGATTTTGAGTCTTTTATTCCTGGTGTCACTATATAGTGCTCCAGTGTGTTAACATGGGAACTTTTGAATTCATCTTATTGGTAGCTAAGACAGATCTGATTCACATGTTACAAGCCATTATTCTATGATCAGCTTTGTTAAATTCATTACATATGGTTCTTTGTCCTTAAAATGAAAATTTTGGCCTAGTCTTGAAGATCAAAGCAGTTTTTACTTCATCACTTCTGCCTTTTTGTGTCTCCATATGTCATTAGCGCCATCTTGTTCAGCTCTAACTCTTCCCCCTTTGGCCGTTTCTCTCTTTGGTTATTTTCTTAAAACACATGTCTTAAACATGTCTTAAATACACACACATGCGCGCGCGCACGGCTGGTTCTGTTGACCCCTCCTAAGCTTCCTCAGCATGATTCAGCAGCCTGCTTCTTTGGGGAGCTACTTCTACTGCAGCAGATAATTAATGTGTCTTTTAGCCTAAACAAAATTCACTTCTCTCCTTCCCTCTCTTTTTCTCTTCCTCCTTCAACCCCTCCCTCTCTCCTTTCTTCTCTTTTTAACACTGGGAATTGAAACTAAGACCTCACTTGTGCTAAGCAAGTCTTGTACCCCTAAGCTACACCCTTAGCCCCATAAAGTTCAGATATATTTCTAGTTTATGTTTTTAGTCCAGCTGAGTTGTGATAACAGATCTATTTTAGAATAGGTTAAGGAATTATGGAGCCTCAGGTTTAGAATTAAGAGATTTCTAGGACCAAAGAAAATTTCTGTGATTCAGAAGTAAAAGATTATCTAAATTTTGTTTTCACCTATTTGCAGAATGACTTTTGTCTAAGTAGGAGTTGGGAGTGTTGTTAAGTGATGAGGGGAAGAGGGCCACAGCCTGAGGATCACACAAGGACAGTCTGAACTAAACAGACACTGAGATGTTGGTTTGCACCTGCTTGTTATACAGTAAGTGGGTTTGTACAGTGTCTGAGCTGTATTCTAGAAATTCCCCATGAGACGCTCCTACCCACCCATGCTGCCCTTGAGTTACTGATGTGCCCTGGATCCTGAGTTCCTCCCGAGTGCTCACCAGAGGAGTGGGATTGCTAGAGTTTTCTCACTGGTAGCATGGCAGAGCTGGGGCGGAGGCCCTGGCAGGCTGCAGATCCATAGTGACAGCCTGGGCTGGTTTTGCTGGTGGCCGGAAGGCCGGGCGAGTGATGACATCACTCATTCTGCTCTTCCCACGGTGCTTGCATCTTCATGTGGTACTCTTTTCCTATGGGTGCTGCGTACATTTGCCTGGGTTTCCCCATGGTATTGGAGAACAGGTTGTGAAAGTCTCACAAATGTTCATTGACATCTTCCTAAATTATGTGCTTTCTTTTGTGTTTCCTTCCAGAATGAAAGCCATAGAGAGTCCCAACAAAGATGACGACACCCAGTGGCTGACCTACTGGGTAGTATATGGCGTGTTCAGCATTGCTGAGTTCTTCTCTGACCTCTTTCTGTCATGGTTCCCCTTCTACTACATGCTGAAGGTATGTCGACTGCTAGCCGCTGTTTCCTTCCACTTACATGTATTTGTGTTGCTTTGCTCTGTGTCATTAAAACTCCAGCTCAGGACCTGTGTATAGGAACAAATGTTTCAGTGTTGGACGTGATTGATGCTGTCTCATGATAAATAAGACAGGATCCAGTGTCTAAATTTCTCTGTATACTGTCTTAGAAAATAGCCAAAGCTGTTTGAACGTTTAAACTGGAAATACCTAAATATTGCTGTGTTGTCAAGGTCTGTCTGTATGCAGTGCTCTGCACTTTGATGTGGAAGTATTGTAAACGTCAGCAGGTCGGGCTAAGGCTATCGCTCGGCCGGCACAAGTGCTTTCCTGGCAAATGCAAGGTTGTGAGTTCGATCCCCAGTACCAAAATATATATATATATATTCAGCAGGTCATCAATTATTCACAGTGGTGAGCAGGAGTCATTTCGGGAAGGAAAAATACACATTTCTCGCATAGGTTTGCAGAAGAAAGATGTGCAGTCAGCTCTCTGAGTCAGTTTAGTGACTTTGACAAGACAGAGTCAGGGGCAGCAGGAACAGTCTTAGTTCCCAGCAGCGTGGGGAAGAGATGGGAAGTTGAAACTTACTCATAATGAAACTACTAATGGACTTCAGACTAGTTCCAGAGTTGAGAATGAAGGAGTTCCCAGCTCTTAATGGATAGAGTAGTTCTTTTCACGAATGGGGATGTGCTGCCCCAAGGTGCTTTGTCAAGTGACTCCTCAGCAGAGCCCTGTTTCTGGGCAACTGCCACCGTGTCACTGGTGCCTCCAGTCCTCAGGCTCTGATTTGAGTGAGCTGGATGGTGTGGTGTCGCGTAGCCCTCAGGATCCCTGGGTCCTCTTCTTTCCCTTTCTTTTTATTAGTGTTCATTTTAGTAAAAGCTGCACATGGCATAGTTTAAAGGTTTAGTAGTTCTGTAATGTTTTACATCAGGTCCACACCTTCCTTAAAAACAACCACTCTGTTACTTCATTTATGGAAATTTGTCATTTGCTTCTCTGTCTCTGAACAATAATGCTAGATTTAGTGACTTTTTTGTATTTTGTTCATTAGCTCGTGATTCCCACTGAGAGATATGATTTGCCTCTTTTCTCCCCTTGTCCTTGCCACACATATGCAGCCTCTCCATGTCCACATCCTCCTATTGCATGACTTTTAAATACTCACTGCTTACTAAACTGACTTTGAAAATGCTCTTCATTTTGATTATAGTATACATGTAGTGTGTTTGTGACAAGGTCTTGCTATGTAGTCCAGGCTGACCTCAGACTTACAGTACTTCTCCTGCCTCAGCCTCCCGAGTCCTGGGATTACAGGCGTGTGCCATCACCCTGCTATAGGGTTCTTTTTATTTCCTCTGCAACTAATAATCATTATATAGTCAAACATATTTGTAGCATACTCACTATTTCCATTTGTCCTGTATATCCTGCATGTTTGTGTACTTTCTCTTAAATATGGTTATTAATCTGTTAGATTAAAAGTCTTGATCAGTCTGTTCTAATATTTTTACTGCTCTCAGAATCTGTAGTTGATTATGTTGTTTTTCTCTAGAATGATTGTACTCATCAAATCTTACTATTTTGCAAACTTGTTTTCCATTAGAAGTTTCAGATGCTGTGCCAGGCTGTGGAGTGGAAGGCCACACCCCAGCCATGTCGGTCTTATGCAGTCAGTTTGGGCAGTGGGTGGATAAGCCTGGAGCTCAGAGTGCAGCGCTGGGCTGCAGAGGAACCAGTTAGTAACTCTTCCCCCAAGCCCCAGGTCCTCAGCTTGGGCTTTGGGGCAGTAACTAGTTCTCAGCTGTTTCCTTCAGTACCTTCCAGGATCAGTGAACAGAAAGCTTTGATTCAGAAAAAAGTAAATGAGAAAGTTTTTAATTTTGAGCTATAGAAGTAAGAAAAATACAAATGACACAAAAAGATTTGATAAATTTGGCTAAATAAAACTTCAGCCAAATTAAATTTCTGTGTAAACAAAGTTAAAATGCCAGACCAGGAAAATACATTCATAACATTCATACCAAATAAGAAGCTAATACCCTGAATATGTATGTATTTTTCCAAGTAAAAAGAAAATGGGCAGAGCTGCTGAATAGATATTTCACAGAAAAGAAGAAATAGGGATGGAAGTGCAGGGGCAGTGGCAGCTGTGCCACAGGGATGGAGGACCCTGCACAGGAGGGGGCCATGCCAGCCACCCTGGTGCTGTGAGATCAAAGGTTGGAACTCTGCCCAAGGAAGGTCTCATCAGGGTCACCAAGCCACACATACAGAATTGGAGGAAGAAATCAATGAACTCAAATCAAAAGTTGTTGATGGAGGAACTGATGATATTATTAAGCTTTTAATTTCATTAAAAGGTGCTGTGTTGTTTGGAACAAGGCTTTTCTTTTCTTTCTTTTTTTTTTTTTTTTTGGTCTTTTTTGAGTCAGGCTGGCCTTGAGCTCACTTTGTAGTCCAGGCTGGTCTCAAACTCCCAACGATCCTTCCACCTCAGCCTCCCAAGTGCTGGGATTACAGGCGTGAGCCACCATGCCCGGCTTGCCAAGCAGGCGCTTATGCCGCTGAGCTAAATCCCTGGCCCGAGGCTTTTCCTTTTTGTCATTGCACATCACCGTGACTGCTGTAGAAGTCTTGAAGTCTTAATTTATCATCCTAATGAAGGTTCCTGCAGTGGGCTTTGGGGTTGTACCCAGGCTGGTGCAGTGGAGTACACTGCTGTGTTTGTTTTTTGAGACAGGGTCTTGCTATGTAGTCCAGGCTGTCCTTGAAATCATGGCAATCCTTGTGCCTCAACCTCCCGAGTGCTGGGAACACTGGCATGTCCCACCATGCCCGGCTCTTTTTTAATCTTAAAAAAAAAAAAAAGGAAAACAATATGAGTGACCAAGAAACATCTCACTAGTGATCTGGGAAACATGAGTTCAAATAGTGCAATCCTGTATTTTGGTTGTTACATTGGTAGGTTTTTAAAGATTGAAGATACCCAGTGTTGCTGAGCATACAGGGAGGTGGCCACGAGGTGCGTAGCTGTGAAAGGTCCGACCCTGCTATTAGTGTGAGGGGGCCAGTGACTTGAGACACACAGTGGTGAGAGAAAAAGGTGCTTATTAGCAACAAGCTGGCCCACTGGACAGGGAACAGTGGGCGCTTCTGCGAGGTGGCTTTCATGGCCTTTCTGGGGAAATAATATGCCAGTCCCAGGGTTGGATGAAGGGAAGTCCACTAGTCTTGAGGAGGTGGAATATGCATGCACCTTCTTTTGGGCCCAAAGGGCTGTAGCCATCCTGGACCTACGACTCTTTAAGTTTATTTAGAGGTCTCTGCTTCTCATAAAACTTCCTTCCTATAGTTATAGGACCTTTCCTGAAACCTGTAAGGGGAATTAGTAATGAAGATGTGCAGGGAGAAAACATCACCACATATAAATTGAAGAGGAAGAAGAGAGGAAAAGAAAAAAGCAATGTTCAACTTGGGAGCAGCCTTGGTAGTGGTGGTGCTGGTAATGAGTAAGGGGATAAGTAAGAATAGCCTTTACATTGGGCCATTTGACCACTTCTTGTTGAACTGGAAAGTGACACACTGACATTCCTATCCTAGGGAAATATTCAGGGGTAAGGAAGCAGAGAGACAGACACTGCGACATTTTTGTTACAAGTAAAAGGAACAGTTGAAGGTTCCATCAACAATGAAAGATTAAACAACTAGTACAGTACATCATACAGTTAAATAGAATGAAACAGATTCATGCATTATGGAAAATTTCCATAATTAACTATGAAAAATTATACATCACAAATAGTGTGACACTATTTGTTTAAAAAGATGAGGTGAATTAAATCTTTGTTAGATGAAAATGTGTTCAATATAGATTGCTTTCATCACCACAGAATGCCTTTTAAGACAGTTGAAGTATTTGCCTTTTAAAACAGATAAGAGGGGCTGGGGATTTAGCTGAGCGGCATAAGCGCCTGCCTTGCAAGCAGGCAGTCGTGAGTTCAATCTCCGATACCGATAAAAAGGAAAAAGACAAATAAATAAATGAATAAGTAAAACAGATAAGAAAATGGATCTGTGGGAAGATTTCAGAGTTCAAAGATTGTTGGATTTTTTTGGTGTTTTGTTATTCAAAGACCTTTTGCATTTATAAAACATTTTATAATCTTTGAATATAAGATTTTAAAAATCAGATAACTTTGAAGTCCTTATTAGGATCCATCTAATGGCACCTCGCAGTGCAGCGTCTAATGGAAAGCACTTGGCTGCTGTCCTGGGCCCGCCTGCTCTCTGTGGTAAGTAGTATCCCGTCAACAGAACTGCATCGGCCAGTTTTTAACCTACACTTCTGGAACATGGGCAGCCTGACTTCTGTCCTTCTTCTGATCACCTCTGCTAACAAGAACACAATAGGGAAGGATCCCAGAATGAGACAGTCACTGAATTGATTTGGAAGTAACATTTCAAAAATTGTTTTGCAGCAAATTCGCTTTCCTAATAAAGAGTAAATCAATACATTTACTAGAAGCTTCGCAGCATCATAGTGTCAGTGAGAGTGAATTTACTGTTCCAAATAAATGACTTGAATGAATTAAAAATTAATGCTGGCCATCAAAGTGCTTTCTTCCTGCATTAGTGGCTTGTGAGGGACTCCAGTGAACCGACTGAGAACAAGTCTGAACTGCAGATGCTGTAGAAGTTTTAGGAGCGTTTCACACTTTAAAGACTAGCATAGATCTTACCTGTGCCATGTGGTAATCACGTAATGATTGTATGAGAACGTGTATGAGGAAGCTGCAAGCTTAGTTTGTCTTTTACAGAATTGCAGTTGCATTACTCAGCTTTCCTATAGCTGGGGCATAATGCCTGACACCCACACCTTGAGGAGGACAGGTTTAACTCTGCTGATGTCAAGGCAGGAACAAGCAAGATGGTATGGCGGCACTACACAGCTTGTTCATGATGGCCAGGAAGCTGAGCAGGGGCCGGCACTGGTGAGAGATGCCCCCTCCAAACGCATCTCCAGCGACCTAGACTCCAGCGACCAGCGACCTAGACTGTGAGCATCTGTGGGCCAGTTCATTGATGAGTGCTCCACAACCCAGTCTTATTTACAGGAGTGGACATTAACTGTCACAGATGCTTTTTTCATTTTTAGAAGTAGCCTGTAGAATTGAGGAAAATAAGAGAAACAAATGGCCAAGCATCTAAACATGTCTGAGATAATACACAGTGTACTTAGTTAAGAGGCTGGTTCACACATGTCCTGAGCTTTGCTGTGAGGTCTGTCTTTGAGCAGTAGTATTGGAAAACACATTTAAAAACCTTTCTTCTGATTGCTTAAAGAAACAACCATACGCAAATTTAACAGTTTAAGTTTTGACTTGTGTGTGCCAGATTCTGTTCTAGGTTTAGGGAATGCTTTGGTGACTGAAATAAAGCCCTTGCTGTTATACTGTTTACAAATATTGATATGGGGTGTGTGTGTTAGGGAAGAAAATAACACGTGTCATCCTGCTGTGGTAAACATCTGTAGTCTTTTTCTGTGCAAATATATTGGTCTGTGTCTTTAAAGAAACACAGAAATATGTACTACTACCTTAGCCACATGTGCTTGAAACCACACACACACACAGTGTGATTTATCTTTAGGTTAACAAGAGTATTTTCCCATGTTACTGGATTTTCTTTGACATAGCTATCCAGTCTTATAATTTATCTATCTTCCTGTTGAGACAGGACATTTATCTTGCTATTATAATTTTTCAGTGAGTGTCCCTCTACATGTTTACTCTCATTTTCCAGACTTCTTTTTTTTTTTTGGTCTTTTTTGAGACGGGGTCTCGCTATGCAGTTCAGGCCGGCCTTGAGCTCACTTTGTAGCCCAGGCTGGTCTCGAACTCGCAACGATCCTCCCACTCATCCTCCCGAGTGCTGGGATTATAGGCATGAGCCACCACACCCGGCTTCCAGATTTATTTCTAGAACAATCTAAACTCTGGTAAGCTTGGATACTTATCTAAATTGTCATCTGTGCTCTTCCTCCCATTGACAGAGCATGGTGTTTCTTTTTTTCATCTTTTTAGGAGGCCAGAAAAATAGGGAAATCCTCTAGTATGTTCTTTTTGAGCTTTTATTTTGTGCAGGTTGAGCAATTCCCCTGTTCCCCAATAAGATAGGGTCTCGCGCCTTGCAAGCAGGCAGTTGTGAGTTCGATCTCCGGTACCGATAAAAAGGAAAAAGACCAAAAAAAAAAAAAAAAAAAAAAAAAAAAAAAAAAAAAAAAAAAGATAGGGTCTCGCTGTTTCCCAAGCTAGCCTTGAACTAACTCCCCAGGGTGAGCAGGCCTCTTGTCTTAGCCCCTCAAGTACCCAATACTGCAGGTGTATGCCACCCTGCTTGGCTTGAACACTGTCTTTAGCATCTCACTATGCTTGGAGCTGTCTTGAAAATGCTTTGTAGGACTTAAGGTTTCTGCTCATGTTGTTAGAGCATATGTAGCGTGGATGTATGTATTTTTTCCTAACTCAGTTCTGACTAGAATAGTTCCCCTGTGTGCCAAACATATTCCTACCCTGGAAATACTTCTTCGGGGGGAAAGATTGAAATCAGAATTGTCTGGCCTGCTGTGAATTATGGATTCACTGTGCCGGTACTAATAGTGAACAAGAATTTAGAAAAGCGCGCACTGACAGGCAGCTTAAATTGTAGGGACTCATGGGAGAACTGTCAGCTGGCACTTTGAGGAAATTTGATTAAGAGGACAGCCACATCTATGTGAGCAACTTTAATTATCTCAGAGTGCTTCTGGGCTGCAGAATAGTTACATAGATTTGGAAGAGGGCGTTGTAAAAACTGGCAGCAGAATATTACCTTGAGAATTGAACAATAATTAATTTTATTAATAAGAAAGTGATTTCAAATGTCTAAGGATATAGGTAGAAAGCAGTAATTTAAATAATTACTAAGTAATTAACTATCTCAAGACAATAGCTAGAAGGTACCAGAAAGCAGTAGACTAGTAGTCTGGCATGTAGCCTCCAGAGTAATCACACTGAAAAAGTACACAGATGTAAATGCCAACCCTGGCCCGGTCTGGGAGTCTTGCTTTAACTCATCCAGAAAAATATAATCAGCATGGATGGATTGCTAAAGGCATCTACACAGATATTTTACAGGGTTGGACGTGGTAACACTACTGCTAATATACTTTCTTCAAAAATAATGAATTGTGCCTTTCTTAAAACCCTAAAGAAGAGAAATTAACCCTTAGGTTGAGTTAAATAGTCAAACAGACCCTCCCGTTTGCAGTTATTGATCCAGTGAGTCATTTTCACTTTGCTGTGATGCTTATGGTTCTGATGTGAGCATCCAACTGTCTGAATAATCCATTCCTGCGAGCCAGGCATCCTGTAGAGAAACACCAGTCAGGAGCCACCTTCCGAGAAGGGGGCTTGCTGTAATGCTCAGCCTGGTCTCAAACTCCTGGGCTCCAGGGCCCCCGTCTCCCAAGTAGCTGAGCACATACCACTGTACCAGCACTTTTATTGTAAGTGAGAAAAATTTAAATGTGTTATATGTCACTAAAAACTACCAACCAATTTCCTGTAAAGCATAGCAAAAAATATATATATATATTTATGTAGTAGACATAATGGGATGTTAGATGTTAAAAACACTTAACTGCTCTCAAATAGTTAATATAGTTGTGGGAAACTTGCTGTTTGCCTTGGCACTGCTGATGCTCTTCAGAACGCCCAAAAGGAGTTGTGGTGTTCTGTCAGAAGCGTACCTCAGGACTTTCCCTGTGTTTGCTGAGTTGGGGCGTGCGTTTGTAAGTGCAGCCTGAAGCTGGGATATGAAAAGCTAACGTCTTCACAGGGAGGTGGTCTGTAGCATCCACTTTGACCTGGCACTAACAGAGGAAAGGAAGGTGCAGCCAGTAAAAAACAAAACAAAAACAGTCTGTTTGTTCTAATTTTGTGTTAAAGCAAATGTGCCATTCTGAAAACCAAGGTCTCCCTGGGCAGCATCTCAGTTTACTGAGATCTGCTGCTGTCCAAACCCAGAGAGGCTGGAGCCGAGTTGCTAGAAAAACTAAGGCAGCATGGACTCCCCATGCATACGGAAGTAGCCAGAGGCACTGCCTTCTTGGCACTGTTACCGGCAGAGGGTCCTGGGAGGGCAGCTGGCACGTGCACACCTGCTTGTTCACGCACACTGTCTTCCTGTACACCTGTCCCGAGAGTCCCTTGAGGTTCATCTTACCTTTCTTCTACCTTCTCCTGTGGCCACACTCACCCTCCCTTTCTTTTCCTAACATCAAACATCCCATCACCTAGGATCTATGCTCAGTAGCCGGGGGGGGGGGGGTGGTGGGAATAGTGACTGGCAGGCTGGCTTGCAATCACAGCTCGGACAGAATGGCAGTGCATTGCATGGGATGGAGGGTCTGCAAAAGAAAGCAGGCTGCATCGTCTTCTAGTCCAGCCCTTCTCAACCTTTTGGGATACACAGAGGGTTTCACAGCTTTTTCCTCGCTTTGGTACAATTTTGGTGTCCATGTTTGAGGGCTATGTGGAGGCTGCAGGAACCTAAATACAGGCCTTCTGTTCGCTGCAGTACATGACCTGGTCGATGGCTTTTCAGATCAGGAAGACTTGTGACTTGGTGGCAGGCCAGACGCGCCAGCAGGACGTGATGGAGCTGCTTGTGTGCGCTGTGGAAAATGGCTGGCTGCAGGTGCCAGCGTCGATGTCATCAGTGACAGAAAATCAAGCCGTGGAGTTGGCGGCTTTGGAGGAGGCTTAGATGAAGATAGAAGACTTTCCACTTTAGTCTCGATGCTTTTAATGCGCCTGCTATTATCTTCAACTATGGCGAGAATCTTCCCCAGCATAACATCGGTGTTCTCTGCAGTCTTCTGCATTTTGGGGTTGGGCGGCAGGCAGATCCTCTGGGAGAGCTGCCGCAGCACCTCCTCGACAGTCTCATCTGTGCTCCGGGACACCTTGCTAGCACTGGGCTGCCGTGCCTCCGCTTTTCTCTTTGGGGCGTCTTCCATCTTGATGCGCTCAGGAGCCTGTGACTTAGGCTGAAGCACAGCAATTTTAGCCTGGACGGAAGAGGAAAGCACATGATAATGGACACGGTAACCAGGGGTTTGTGCCATAGCTCTTACAGTCACTAATTCTGCTTAGGAGTATTTATGTGTCGGTACTTTGGATTTCATTTCAGGTAGTAAAAGAATTATAAAATATTTAAATATTGTTGGGTCTAGGATTCACTTTTAGTCTACATAAAAGCTAATAAGTTAGCTTGTTACTATCTGTGAATGTTAGAAGACACAGTATTCTTGCAGTAGATACAAAGCCTTTACTATGCTAATAAATATTCCAAATGCTTATTATTTTACAAAATTGTAAGTGATAGACTGTTAAATTTCAATGTGCTGATTTTACACAAAACATATGAAAAGTGGTTAAGTAACTTACACAGGTTTGCAGAGCTATTATGAGGTGGAACAGGATACTAGTGTCTCTGAGCCCATCTGTTATCCTAACTCTTAGGGTCCGTGTTTGTAGCTAGCCACCATAGCACATGCCTGTAATCTCATCTACTCAGGAGGCTGAGGCAGAGTGATCCCATGGGCCTAGGAGTTTGAGGCCAGTCTGGATAACAGTGAAACCCCTTCCAAACAAACAAACAAACAAAAGAACAAAACAGTGAATCCCTTCCTTAGTGGGGAGGGGGGAAGATATGTATGTAATGTATGTTTATATATATGACTTGTTAGAGAAATGTTTATATCTTTAGATCAAGATTTATTTCCCCTCAGTGAGCTGGCCTGGGAGCCCTCCCAGAGACTAAGAGGCTGCTTAGGAAGGTCGTTCAGCCCAGCTCAGAAGTTCTTTCCCTGCTTCCTTCTGTGATCAATAAAGTTAACTGCTGTATATTTTAAAAAAAGGGTTTTCACTTCTATTTTGTGTTCTTGTTTGTCTGATATCAGATTCTGACGGAAGTATTAAAATTTATAATTATAGATTTAGTTATGTTTTAAATCTATTATAAAAATTTCCATATAAAAATTTTATATTATCAAAATATAAAATTACAGATATAAATTTCTTTGAAATATATACAGTCTTGTGTAAGTTTGGGAATTTTAATCTTGAATATTTGTCTTGTTTATGAATATCACTCTATAAGCCATCTTGGGAGTTGGTATTCGTCTGATGCCTCTCATCACTATAAATTTAAAAACTGCTGGACCCACCATGCTTCATCTTTCTGTTTCACTGTCAGCTTTTCCTTCCTAGCTTATTACTAGGCAGTTTCTGTGCATCTCCCATTAGCCTGCACAAAACACCGGCGATGCTGCCACTGGACAGCTGCCCCCGCCCGCCCAGCATGCACCCTCTCACCTCTCGCTGATCTGTCCTCCTCCCTGCAGTGTGGCTTCCTGCTGTGGTGTATGGCCCCAAGCCCTTCCAATGGCGCTGAGCTGCTCTACAGGCGCATCATCCGTCCATTCTTCCTGAAGCACGAATCCCAGGTAGACAGTGTGGTGAAGGACCTGAAGGACAAAGCCAAAGAGACTGCAGATGCCATCACTAAGGAAGGTGAGACTTAGGCATAAGTTGGGGAGATACTGGTCTCAAGTAACATTAAGGCTTTCTGGCAGCATTGTCCTCTCAGCTTTCCTGAGCCAAATACCAGACCACACAAAGGGACTTCTGTACTGAGTTTGCCTGCTTGACCTTAGTTTCTCCTTTAGTTACTTCCTGACACATTAGTGTAGCATCTAGGCAACATACTAAGAAAAATGACCTCCCTCCTGAAGGGAGAGATACTAGAGAGTCATATTCACATATACATATAGTCTCTTTAAATCAGTTCAGGGTGATCTGTTTAGTGTGTTGAATGGTTTCTGTTATGGGGCCAAAAGTACTCTCAGCTCCTCTACTTGATTCATTCAAATATTTATTGCGATATTTAATATGGGCCAACCATGTTCCTAGCACTGGCAATCAACCAAAGACACCATGCTCCTCTATGCGTATGGTCTAGCTGAGATAGAGTCTATTCTAATAAGACTGAAGTATGATATATTTATCAGATGAGAAAAAGCAGATATATCAGGGACTAGAGTTTCAGTTTTAAACAGGGAAATTAGAAAACTCTCACCAAGAAGGCTGTACTGAACATAGTAAAGAGAGGAACAGTGGGGAAGAATGTTCCAGAAGGAGCTGTACTTGCAAGAGTCCCAAAGTAGGAACAATAAGGAATTTATCTAGAAGGACATGAAGAAGAGACAAGGTCAGAGCAGTTGAGGTGGAGGCTGGATAGCAGGCCACATAATGCATTATAGGGTTTGGCTTTTTGTATATGTGAGATAAAGTTCTTTTAGAGAATTCTAAGCAGAGGAGCAACATAAGTCTTCCCCATGTTTTGACAAAAATCACTGTGGTCACTACTCTACAAATGGATTAGGGCTGGGGATTTAGCTCAGCAGCATAAGTGCCTGCTTTGCAAGCGCATAGTCATGAGTTCAATCCCTGGTACCAAAAAAAAAAAAAAAAAAAACCAGAATGGATTAAACTAGTTAAAAGGGTGCTCTACTTACTGGTTGGAGATGAGTCTCTTGGTTTATAGTAGCAGTAGAGATAAGAAATACCAGTAGGATTTCCTTGTGGATCAGGTTGCATTAGAGTGTCAAGGCTCACATTAAGCTTTTCAGCCTTAATAGGCAGGATGAGAATTGACACTGAGCTGGGGAAGACTGGGTAGTACAGATTTAGATGGAGGAACATATGGAATTTCAGCACAGGATATGTGTTTAAATTGCTTATTAGATAGCTACATGGAGTAATCAGCAGCCAGTGGGATATAGATGTTAAAGAGTTAAAGAAACAAGCCAGGTGTGGTGGTACACACCTATAATCCCAGCATTTGGGAGGCTGAACAGGAGAATTTTCATGCATTTGAGGCCAGCCTAGGGTATGTAGCGAATTCAAAGCCAGCCTGAATCGCAGAGCAAGACTCCATCACAACAGTCAGAGGAACAGGTCTGGATAGGGGGATGAGAAGTCATCAGCCAAGCAGACCAATAGGGGAAGGCTGCTGGAAGCATGATGTCGTGAGTGTGGAGTCCTTGGAACCAGATGTAGTGTTTGAAAGGAGGAAGTGACCACTGTTCATGTGCAGACTGAGTAAGTAAAGACTGAGCACCAACAGTTGGACTTAGCAATAAGGAAGACACTAGTGATCTCAAGAAAACGTTTCTGCAGTGTGAGAACAAACTCTGACTGCAAGGAATTTCAGAAGATAAATGAGAGATTGTAGAAATCTGCCAAGGAAAGTAGAGGAATGGGGTGAGAAGGAAGAGAAACTGCAGTCACGAGAAGTTTAAAACTTTTTAGAGAGAAATAAGGCAATCACTGGGAATGATCTGTGAGCAAAAAGTGATGATAAAGAGGGTGAATTAAGGGAGCTCTACCCCTGCCTGGGTCAGAGGGAGGCTCTGGTGTCACAGAGACTGAGCAGAGCAGCTGGAACATTTTATAACGGGGAGATCAGGGTTTGTGGGAGGGATGCTAGAGAGCAGGACTGTGTGATTTGGAAGCATCAAGGAGTAATTTTCTGGAAGATTCAGACTCCTCCATGAAAGAGCAGGCAAGCCCCTGAGAGATGCTGGGGAAAGAGAGAATGGGAGCTCTTAGGGTAGAGATTGGTGCCAGGTACAAGAGACTTCAGGCTCAGACACCCTCAAGGACTGTACAACTACACAGCTCTGCCATTGTGACCCCGAAGCAGCCCAAGGCCTTCTGTGGGCACTGTCTCTGCAGGGCAATGGGAAAGGAAATGGACCAGGCTGTTGTCACGTGGCAAGCAGCTTTACAGGCTCACTTGAGATCTGTGTTCATGAGTCAGGTCACCTTTGTGTTTTCCTCCGGCCACATTCGCCTATAGGGTGGCTGCAGAATACGCTGAGGTTGTGTCAAGAGTGCAGTTTTAACCACAATGATGATGCAAGAGTGGGACTGTAGGATGTTTGATGATGAAATTTAAAGCTGATATGGGAGGAATGGTGAGAGGAGGAGACTCTGAACCAGGACAACGGAACGAGCTGCAGAGACCCAAGGCCACAGTAGGAGAGGGATTATGGTGTCACCACAGTTTTTGGGAGTGGCAAGTGTCATGGCGAGAGTGCGGCAGGCCAGTTGGAGTATAAAGTTTATTGTAGGGGAGGACCTAAGAGATCAAGAATATTAGAATTATGTCTATCTACATGAATAGTAAAATCACCAGGAATCAGCCGGGTGTGGTAGTACATGCATTTGGGAGATTGAGGCAGGAGGATCACCATGAGTTCAAGGCCAGCCTGAACTGCACAGCAAGATCCTGTCTCAAAGAGACAAGGGGGAAATAATCACCAGGAATTAAAGTAGCAGATTGACATTAAGTGTTGGTGATACTCACGTGGGAGCTAAATCTTCAAGAAACGAACCAGAGAGGACTAGGAAAAGGTTAGCAGGTGACACAGTCTGATGGTGTGAGATTCTGAAAGTGGCAGTGGCAGTGAAGCAGACAGACAATGCCTACCAGATCTCCAGACCAGGGGTACTAGGGTCACGGGAGAAAAAACTAGCTGTGACTTAACTTCCTTGGGAGCCAGTGAGACTGGCAGCGGGAAGGTAAAGAAGACTTTCAGGGAAAAGGATGGGGACCGAGAGCTGCTGGTGATGGCCTCAAGTTCCAGAGGGGCTCACAGGCTGTAGAGATTGAAAAGCGGGCAGTGGACACAGTTTAAAGGGAGTGATTCAGACGCTAGGGGTGAGCAGGAGCAGGGTGCGCCGGGGAAGTCAGATTTGCCGCAGCAGAAGCCAGCGGAGGCTTCTGCCTCCCTCCAGCGCTGGCTTTCCTTTGGATTCCTGCCGGCATAAACACCAGGCCTCTTCACTACCTTTTGCTGTAACTTCAGATGTGTGCTAACTTAGTGCTTTCCCATCCTCCTGCTTCAGGAGCTCCCGTTCAAGAGTTTTCTTTCTGTTGCTCTTTGCCCTTGGCCTGACTAGCAGCCTGTGCTGCTGTCATTTCTGTCTCATTCTCCCACGTCATAGCCTCCCGGTCCTCTACGCATCGGCTCTCAGCATTCGGGCTCAGCTGATGTGATGCCTTCTGATCCAGGCAGAAAAACCTGGAGGAACTTAGGTGTTGACCCGTTTTAAACATTTCTCAGAGTTCCTGGATTCCTTAGGATTTTATATGTAGGGCTAGTTGAGGGACACAATTTCTTCTTTGTAACTTAGTCCAGCAATTCTAATTGAGTAAAGGGAGAGCAGCCATCTGGCAGTTGGTGGACACAGAGGGACCCCTCGGCTCTCATTACCAAGAGGGCTCCCTCAGAAACAGCTGTGGTCTGGGGACCCTCGCTGAAGCCTCCCTGGCCTCCGCTCCCGGTGCAGCACAGCGGCTCTGGTTCTCAGCACACACTCCAAACCTCTTGCCATCACAGGGAGCACACAGTGAGCAGTGTAAGTATTTCTAGTGCTGGAAGGAGCCTGCCTCCGATTTTTGTCACTACAGGATACATGGGACAACTTAGGTCTCAGATCATGGAGTACTGAAATCTTACAGGGCGAGTATGTGAGATTCAGCTGTAAAAGAAACACTCCTACTGTGGAACTTGCTGCTTTTGACACTTACAGGGAAACAGAGGGCAGGTAGTTCAGGTGACACTGTCAACGTAAGGCTCCAATTTTGTCAAATCTATATAGTATTTGTACCCTGAAAAAATTCTTTGTCCATTTGGGGAAGCCCTCCAGCCCTGACCACAACCCTCAATGCACTCTCCTCTGCCCGTGAGTCATCTAAGTTTTGTTCTCTGCTCATGTGAAGCATGGAGCTTAGAGCTTATACCAGAAGTATTCACAACATTTTCTTTCCTCCTAACAGCCAAGAAAGCTACAGTGAACTTACTGGGTGAAGAGAAGAAGAGCACTTAGCCCTCTGCCGGACAGCGCTTCCCTGCCCTCCTGCGCCCCCCCACACCCGGTAGAGCTTGAGGTTATGTCAGGGACTGCAGTGTCATCATTTTGATAATGTTGCCTTGGAAACATTTTTGATATATTAAAATGGAATGTGTTGTAAGTTTTTTGCCATCAATGTCTGTATACATAGGAAGCGTTTAATTTAAATTTAATTTCAATTTAATGCAGTGGGCAATATCTAAATTTTTGAAAATATTTTGCCTCTGGGTAGGAAAAGAAGTGTTACTCTCCTGCATAAAATATAAAGTAAAATAAAATTATGTATCCCATAGGCTTTGTACTGTACTTGACTGGCGAGACTCTGCATGCATTTTCTCTGTACTTAACATTTAATCTGTATGTTCCTACATCATGTAATGTAGTTTTTCGAATTCTTCAGTGTTTTAATGTATTTATGTATATATAAAGAGAACTGTGCAGAATGCTCAGAGGAAGGTGCCAAGGAGGTTATACCTCCATTTATAAATCCTGTACAAGCAGACCACCAGCCAAAAGTGGGAGGTACGATTCTGCTGCTGTCATCTGCTAATAATACTTCAGAAAACGAATACAAATTAGCAATATTCAAATAAGGTAAGAGAGGAGCTTGAATGGAGGTTGGGCTGCTTGCTTTCCTAACATTGTAGTCCTGAATACTAGGACAGCTTTGTAGAACAGTCAGTCTTGTGGTAAATGTGGAAGTTTATCCATGTCAGTCCATACTCGCAACTCCCTGTAGAAACAGCAATACCGTCTGACTGCTTAAGCTTTAGGTGTGCCTGTTACTACCATGCTAAAATGAAAGCCATTTTTGGGTTTACCTGCTGAGTGATGCATTGTTTTAGTCGTCCCCCTCCCCCTCGCTGTTTAAGAAACCCCTCAAGACACATCCTCCTCTGAGGCCATAAGTATTCTCATTTATGTCATCAGCAACAACTTGCCCATGATCACACTCGCCTAAGAGCAGTTCTGGGAGAATGAAAGGAGCTCGAGTAACCCATCGTCTGACTTCGAGTGGTCAAGCCAAGCTGCCTTCATCTTTCTTCTGGACTTCAATGTCAAAGTTGAGGTTTCCCCAGTTAACAACATGTCAGAATTATTTTTAGTCCATGCCTTCATGTTTGTTTTCATAAACTACATATGGCTGCATAAAGTATAGAATAAATAGAATGAATGTTTCCAACTTTATTGCCTAAAATACCACTAATCTTAAAAATATGCACATACACGCACACACACACATACAGGATCCTTTTGAGTAGACTAAACTAAAACAAATGTATAACAAAATTAAAAAGGTTAAATATCCAGTTAATAAAATTCCTTAAAGGCAAAGATGATTAGCTCTCCTTTCAAATAAGAGATACCATCACCTACATGTAACATGGATTGGAGGACTTTTTCCCCCTCAAAAAGTGATATTAGATGTCTTATTAAAAAGAATTGCTTTTTTTGGCCAGGGTTGGGAGGTGGGGGTAGAATCAAGCCTTAGTTTAGAAAAAGGTCTAAAAAGTACTGCAATCGCTGCCATAAACTGAAGTACACTTTTAGTGTGACCCAGTGACACGTGCCTGTGATCCCAGCTAGTGGGGAGGCCGAGAACAGAGCACTGCAAGTTCTTAGTGTGGGAATTTAGCAAGACTGTCACCAGATACAATTACAAGGGCTGCAAATGAGCTCAGTGGAAGAGCACTTAGTAGCATCCCAGTGCTGGAGAAAAAAACACATTTCACAGTGGCAGAACAAAAATTACCAACTTCTAGCATACCAAACAATCATACTGTCAATATGCAGTTATTAGGATAGGATGGCATAAAATAGGCTGATAATTATAGGCTAATCAGTGTAAAACTATCATAAAATATAAATGCAAATTTTTTGTTGCCTAATACCACAGCTTTCTCCTACAGGGCATTCTACAAGAAATTCTGCAAGTTACTGTCTTTTTGGTGGCTTAAGTGTACATTCATGGCAAAAGTTATGATTTGAGTAGTTCTGTCTCGGCATAGATTTCCTAAATAAGATATTACCATTATCTGGCCAGAAGACAGAGCATCTATCTGTGTGCATGAGTGGCATTTAATGGGTGTGTAAAGTTACAGAGTTTCTCCTAAACATCTGAAAAGTCTTCAAAATGAAGGGAAAAACGACAGCACTTCTCTTTCTTGCAAGCTTATTCAGATCAACAAAATTACTGCTCCTCTAGCAAGACTCTTTTTGTCACAGTCTGCAGAAAATGACCATGGGTTTGGAAGTAAGCAATCTTATCTCGAAGATAGGCTGTTCTGAATAGGTATGGACATACAGTGGCCCCCTTACCAGAGGTAATATGTGCTGGGACTCCCAGTAGATTTCTAAAGCTGAAGATAGCAAAAGCAGTCCAACTATAGAGAATTAAATACTATCTGTACCTATAGAAAGTTTAAAATTAGGTAAACTAAGAAGTTAATAAGTGATTGGAATGAGGTACAGAAGGAAGACAATATGGTCTTACTACCTTCCTGCGCTGTACTGTGTTTAAAGATTGGTTGGCCTTGAGTAACGGGAACCAAGGAAGATGAACTGCAGAGAAGGGACTGCTCTGCAGTGTTTATTGTCCATTTATGTTTTAAAATTTTGCTCAAATAATCCTTGATTAGGGAAAATGTACAAAACAGATGAAATATAACTAAGTGAAAATTGAGTTTTATTAACCGTATTTCCTCACCTGGTTTGTAATTTTCCCCCAGTGGTTACTGTCAGGAAAAGTCTAAAGAACATACCAATCAAAAAAGATTTCTGTCAGTAACCTTAGATTTAGTGGAAAACTAAATCACCGCTTTCTACCTGCGTTTTACATTACAAAGAAGTCTCATGACTTAAGATACTATTGCCTGTATACAAGTGTAGTAAATACTTTTTATATATGCCTCTATATTTTTATGGATTTTTTTTTTTAGAAGACACCCAGAAGCAGCAGTGGTGGCATAGGCCTGTAATCTTAGCACTTGGGTGGCTGAGGCAGGAAGATCACTGTAAGTTAGAGCCGGCCTGAACTACATAACAAAACCCTGTTTCAAAGACAACAGAAAACTGTGGGGCACGTGTCTATAATCCCAGTTAGCTGGGAAGCTGAGGCAGCAGCATTCTAAGTTTGAGGATAACCTGAGCAATTTAGTGAGATCCTTCTCAAAAATTAAGGACTGGAGAAATAGCTCAGTGCAAAGCTCAGTTCAATACCCAGTACCAGGAGGAAGGGAGAACAACAAAATGAACTAAACTAAAAGCAAAGATCAAAAATAACTTCGAGAAGTTTATTAAAAACAGCATGTGTCTGGCGTCTCTGAGGTCATGGGTTTAATCTACCTCCTTTCAGCATATGCTTTGGTTCATGGTCTCCTATATCTATCTGCTTCTCGTATTATAACATGGGATTTACCTTACGTATGATTCAGATCCTTAGCCATAAAATTTCACAGTTATGTATAGCATGACCTGAGAGTAAATATATTTGGAAATGATCTTTAAAATGTTTTGGCTTCTATTATATTCAAGACCTATTTTTTTAAGCTAGGAATCGAACTCCTGACCTTGCACTTGCCGGGCAGGTGCTGGGTTATTGAGCTATATCCATGGTCCAAGACCTATCTTTTATTTAAAAGAATGATTATTGAAAAAGCTAAATGAGATTCCAAAGAATACAGATAAACAGTTAAATGAAATTACAAAACAATGCAGAATATGAATGAGAAATTCAGCAAGGAACAATTTTGAAGAACCAAACAAGAAACCTGGGAAACGAAGAGCTCAATAATTTACATAAAAAATACAGTTCAGTGGACCAGGGATCCAGCTTGGGCAGGACATCTGCCTGCCATGGCAGGGCCTGAGTTTGATTTCCAGCATCACAATGCCCAAAGAGAGTTGCGATCCTCAACAGACTATTATCAAGCCAAAACAACAACAACAAAAACAAAACAAAAAAAACCCAAAACCAAAAAACGGTCTGAACTGAAATATCCATTTGAAGTGAGAAAGTACTGAAGACTGTTGGGCTATCATTAAATGAGGAAACACCTTGAGAATACCTGAAGGTGAGGAGAAAAATTAAGGGCATAGCAAATTATTCAATGAAGTAAAAGAAAACTTCCCTAAACTTGGAAAAGGTACAGACATCCATGTGTAGGAGTCTTATATCACCCCATAGTCCAGAAAAGATCACCACAACCTATTATAGTGTGAAGTCTGACAGAAAGAATTAGAAAATCTGCAGAAGTCACCTAGCATATGCCCATTAGATTAGAAGATTTCTCAGCAGAAACCACATGGGGCAGCAGAGAATGGGAAGGACAGAGTCCAGGTCCTTACAGTAAGGGCCCAGGTTCCTATGAGCAGAAGCCTGCCAGCAATGCAGAAACAGGACTTTCCAAAAAAGCAAAAATCTTAGGGAATAAATGGCCCACACTGTGTCACAAAAGAAGTTCCACATCCAGAAATGAAAAATAACTACCATCATCATAAAACCACATGAATAAGTCTTTAGAAGATATACAAAACAGAGGAGACTCTTAATAAACCATCAGACCACAAGATAAAGCAGAGGAAGATCAAAGAATATTCAAAACAACTGTAATGCGAATGATAAGAATGTCTGTTAATTATCAATAACATTGAATGTAAATGGGCCAAAATTTTCAAAAGACAGGTTGATGAATGGATTAAAATTAGCAAAATCCAACAATAAAGTGGCTGTGGAAGTGCTTACAAGGAAGTTTACAGCAGTGAATTCCCATGTTAAAAAACAAAATGCACTTAAATAATCTAATGCTGTATCTCCTAGGAAAACAACAAAGCAAAACTCAAAGCTAGTATTAGGAAGAAAATAAAGCTCAGGGAAGAAATTAATTAAACAGTAAAAAAAAAGTACAAAGAATCAACATACCTGGTACTGATACAAAGCAAGAAGACAAAACAAACAAAAAAACATATCAAAGAGTTGGTTCTTTGAAAGACTGACCAAATAAGGCATTGTAGCATATGCCTGTAATCCCAGCATTTGGGAAGCTGAGACAGGAGGATTGCCACAGGCTCAAGGGCAGCCTGGGCTACAAAGCAAGTTCAAAGCCTGCCTGAATTACACAGCGAGAGCCTGTCTCAAAAAGCAAGCAACCAACCAAACCCAAAACACCAAACAATAAAAAGCCCCACAGAACAAAATCACAGTGTTTTCCACAGAAACCTGTACTCCAATAAAATGGAAAACTCAGAAGAAATATTGCTAGATACATATGAACTACCAAAGCTGAGCCAAGAAGATAAATCAATAAAAGCAGAACTGAAGTAATAAGGGGCCATGGGCACCTGCCTGGCAAGCATAAGGTCCTGAATTCAATTCCCGGCACCTCCTCAAAATAAAGACAATCTTAAAAAGACACTAAAGTAATACAAAATATAAGCTAAGAAAAGCCCAGGTCCTGAAAAACTTACTGTCAAATTCTATAAACACTTTAGAAAAGTATTTGTAGAAGCAGTACTTCTGAAGTCATTTCTGAAATCAAGCATTACCTTGATTCCAAAAAGAAAAAGACCCAACTAAGAAAGAGAACTATACACCAATCTCTACTGAACACAGAAGCAAAAATCCTTAATAAGATACTGGCAAACACAGTGCAGCAAATCATCAAAAATATCATACATCAGGACCGAGTAGGAGTCATTCCAGGAATGCAGAGATGGTTCCACATACATAAATCAATAAATGTAATTCACTATATAAGTAGGACAAAACATATGATCATCTGAATAGATGCAGAAAAGCTGTTTGACAAAATTCAGCATCCATTCATGACAATAAAAGCTCGTAGGAAAATAGGAATACAGCACCCTTATCTTAATCTGCTAAGGACCATCTGTGACTAACATAATACTCAATGGCAAAAAGTGAAAAAGTTTTCCTCTTAAAAATCAGACACAAGCTGGGGATTTAGCACAGTAGTTCAAGTGCTTGGTGAGTGCAGTCTTGAGTTCGATCTCCAGTACCAAAAAAAAAAAAAAAAAAGACAAGACAAGGATGTCTGTTAATCACCACTTTTGTTCAACATAGTTCTCAAAACACTGGCTAGAGCAATTAGACAAGAAAAAAAAAAAAGGAGGGGCTGGGGATTTAGCTCAGCAGCATAAGCACCTTCCTTGCAAGTGTGCGGT